AAATCTTTCAATTCCTTGTTGATTCTTTTTTTTTTCCCAATTTTCACAAATATAAATATTTTCTACTTCTAAAAAATGGTTAGACGTAATAATGATAGAGTCTCATATCGTGATTTCTTCAATGATATGTTTGACGATTCCTTGGAACAAGCTGAATTTGCCTTGATGGAGGCCATGTTTATCCACGTTTATGCAATTGTAGCAAGTCGAGCAAGATGAAAGTTCAACTAGGAGTAAAAGGCAAGAATTGCCTCAAAATCGTGAAGTTGGACATGCCCTACTGATAAAAGATCATTTTTCTCCTGATCCCATATACTACGAAGCATACTTTCGTCGAAGATTTAAGATGTCCAGACAACTATTTGTCGAATAGTGCAGGATGTGTTTGTACTATTTTGTTACCCTTTTTCCTTCTTTATTTGCTTGTTATTTTCCCTTTTCTTAGGGTTTTTTTAGTGTTTTCGGTTTGCGTCATCAGTTTTTATAGGTGTTTTTCTTTTCAGTTGTTCTTCCTTCGTTTTGGTTTTCTTTGTGTGTTTCTTTGTTTTTGGTTGCAGGAGATTAGGTGGTTTCGGTAGAGATTCGAAAACCATTTCCTGAGATTTTGTCCCGAGATTTCTAGCCCCAGATGAGTTGTCGCGACCCGCGAAAGTAACAAAGAGATTAGCTCCCATATTTTCCCATTTTTCATGGCCCACGAAATTTCCCGCGGCCCGCTAATTTTTCGGCGGCCCATGGAAGTAACAGTCCCCGCGGCCCGCGACCTTTAGTTTCCACAGCCCGCTATTTTTCCGTGGCCCGCAGGTCGGCGCGATCAGATTTAAAATTTCGAAAGTGAACAATTTTTGGATCCTATTTTTATGGGTATCGTGCTAGGGGATAAGAAAAATATTCCAGATTTTTTACTTGGTAGTTTTTCCTTATTTTAAACAATCCTTGGCTTGGATTTAAATTTCGGAGGGTGACACTCCAAGTAATTCATTGTGGATTTGGATTGTGCTTGAGATTCAACACTTGATTTGTATTAATCGTAAGCTTTCTTCTCATTTTGATTATGAGTTTGGTGTATGTTCGCAAAATATTTTCACTACCCGTAAGTATACTGTGTATAGTAAGCGGCGAGAAATGTTAGATTCCACAGAGATTGTTGTTAAAATAATTAAGTACCAAAATGTAGATGATTAAATATTATTTAGACTAGTGCAAATTTGAATGGAAATTTTAATCTAAACAAATAAATGATTGCAAAACAAATTCTAACACTAATGAAGGCTTGTTCTAAAATAAATCAAGTATGAGAAAATAGATTCTAGGTTAAGTTTTCATCGAGATTATTCCAGCAAATATTTTTTATTCATTCAAACCTTATTTAATTCTACCAATCGTAAAGATAATCGCTAAATTAATTTAAAATCTTTCTCTCGAACAAGTTAAATCGTAGATATTAATTGTTATCTATCTCCTCCCGGTCTCAAGGTAAACAACTAACTCTCATACGTTCCTAGGATTTTTGTTCCCTCGCAAGATTCTATCAACCTCTCGGTCTGTTTAGTCTCTTACGTTATAAATTTCTCAATTCTAGCGATCAACTATCCCCTCTCGGTCTCAAGTCAATCATAAATATGCATAAATACGGGCTCGATATTCACACATTAAATATAAGCACAAGAAATTGATAAACAAAAGATATGCATGAATGAATAAATAAAATTACTTCATAAAATAACCCGAGTACTCACAAATCCTAGAATCTAAAAAATGTTTAGCTACTAAACATATTCTTAAAACTCAAAATTAATAAATCCATGAGTTCAATGAAGAAGAAAAAGAGAAAATAAAGAAGAATTATTGTCGATGTTTGTTCCCGAATCTTCAATCTTGACTTCCTCGAATTCCTTGTGTGTTTAGTGCTTTCTCTTGGCCTCCAAAGGTGTCAAAAGTCCCAAAACCGAGTTCTTCAAGTCCCCTTTATACTGTAGGGCAAATATGAGTCGAAAAGGGGAAGAAATCACATCAGAATCCTAAGTCTGCGCGTCAGACGACTCGTGTCACTAACTCACACGAGTCGTGTGGCATTTCTATAATTTTCGCCAAACTCCTAGAATCACACGACCCGTGCCACTATACCACACTAACTCACACGAGTCGTGTGGCATTTTTTTAAAATAACCGAGTTGATCGAATATTATAAAAATTATATTATTTTGTTATTTATTTGTTTTAGACTTTACATATAAAAGTAATATAAAATATTAAATAAAACGTTAAGCTATTAAATGTATTTTTATAATATAATTTCTAAATTATTTCGATTATTTATGTTGGTTCGATTAATCGATCAAATAACCCAACTATTTCGTTCAATTTTAGTTTAATTTGAGGCAAGTCATAAATAATTCATGCATTTTGTGTGCACAATAGTATTATACAAGTTGCACGTTAATGACTACCGAATTGCACTGTAGTTCCCAAAACCGATCGATATAAAATTTTCGATTTTCAAAATTTTATATTTAGATTCCAATATATTTTTTTTTTATTTTTTAAAAATACCGGTTCTTTTGGTTTGATGACGAATTTATTTTTAAAATGGCTGAATTATTTTATATGTAAATAAAAAAACTAAAATTTTAATTACAGTATGAGTATTTATATATTTGGCTAATAACATATTATATTAAATTTAATGAAATTACATTTAGGTCCTTGTGATTTGTAACGTTTTCAAAATAACCCCCAAAATTAATCTAATATACATGAATGAGCCCCACGAATCACAACTTCAGCATTCTCAAACCCGTGAAATTTAAAAAGAGAGACGCAAGCACCGACGCTGAACCAGGTGAGCATCACTGCCATCACGACGATTCCCGGCGGCTATTTTTACAATATTTGAGACGAACGGCATGGGAGGAGGAAGAATTGCGGCTGAGGCCGACGACGACGGGCCGAATTTGGGTCTGAACGACGAGCAACAAAGCAGTTTCCATTGAAGTGTGTAGGAGGAAACGGCGGCGAGCGAGGAGGAAACTGGTGGCGGCGAGTGTGGGTGAAACGGGCGGCTGTCGGTGGCTATGGCGGGTGGCGGGTGGCAGTAGGTGGAGGTGTCGGCGGTGGCTGTGGCTTGGTGAAGGAAGCTGCGTATTTTGGCTCCGTTTAATTTTCTAACGACGACCACCCCGTGTGTGTAGAGATCTGAAATCGAGCTGTGTGATGAAGAAAGAGAGATGATGATGGTGACGAAAATAAAACATTTTATTAATTGATGGGTGGGTCCCACATAA